TCATATTTTAAGTCTGAGATCTTTTCTCATTTAGTCAAAAGCCACTCCTCCGCCAATATCTGAAACATCTGTTTTAAAGTCAACTACTATAGAAGCCACATCAGTTGGGACACATTTTGTTCGCCCAAACTTGAAAACAAATGGTGTTTTGATGGGATGCCATACAGAAACAAAGTCACATTTTCTGTATAATATTTGGCCTTTTATGGCCCTGACCCATCTCTGATACAATGAAGTCAGTGAGTGTTAACAGTGTCATTTATACATACAAAGAGGGACAGTTGGAGCAACATTATTTATCAGTCTACACCAAAGCAACTCTGGGTTTAGGTATGGAAATCAGATATACTGCCTTAGGTATCATAGCTGGGCCAACAGTGTTGTAAAACCTATGAAATACATCCATCCATTATCTGTACCTGCCTTTTCCTTTCCACATCGCATGGGGTCACATTTGTCAATTTCTTCAATACACTGCAGTGGTTCGCATGAGGTGTGCTGACTATATTGTAACCACTGAGTATACATTTTCCCAACAACGTCTTAATTGCTTGCACTAAGAGTTTGGCAATGCAATGCACATATTGTGTATTGTAACAAAGTTCTAAAATGCTGCAGTTTTAGTTTAAGGTCATTCCATCCAGCCTAATCCAATGTATTATAAATTTTGGGATGACTTGGAAGTTTTCGATATTTTAGTCAGCTATGTCAAACTTTGTAGTATCAGACAGAAATCAGCTTAATGGAGACAAGCTAACGGCTACTGTAAGAAGAGCCAGTTCCAAAGCAAACTGTTGCTGGCTAGAATGAAATCCAAGCTAAAAAAAAAAAAAAATCAAGATTCAGGCAAATCTATTGACTTTACAGGGTTAATTAGTGTAGTTACAGTACTTACATTGATAAGTAAGTACTGGTATGGTAAGCACTAAGTACTGTATGTACTTGGTTGTATTATGTATTGCTACCTACAAAACTTAAAATGTAAAAGTAACATTCAGCTTTTCTGTACAAGTTTCATGTGGAGCACTACTGATAATGCACCAATGGCTCTGTATTCAACATAAATAACCATAGACTAAATGAAACTCCTCCTGACAGTGGGATTGTTGGCTAATCAGTAATGGAGCATGCTACACTTTTTAAAAGTCTTTTTGATTCAATCCCTGTGATCATCAAACTAAGTTACCTAACATAAAAATATGCCTTAAAGCTTTCTCTACTATAAATTTGTGAGATATGTCACATCTAAGAATGTAATAAAACAGTATAGACTATACTTTAAATATAATATACTGTATTGTTGTATGAATAGGTACTGACTGGTAAAATGTGTATATTTTACATGAATATTTTCGCTGCCTGTATGTCAGAATTGTCTCCATGGCTGTTTTCAGTCTCACTGACTTTTGCTTGTTGGGCTCCATAAAGCAGGTGAAGTACTGGTAACTGTCCACTAGAAATCCTTGCAACATGCTTAGCATATTTCCCCAGCAATACAAAACCATTTCTATCAGTCTAGGATTCATTCATGCCTGTTTCATTGAGCATTGGGCCTTTTTCATTCCCTGCAGTTACGTTTTTTCCCCCACTCGTCTGCAATCCTTTAATGTCTTCATTCTATCTGCCTGTGCTCTTTATTGAAAACAACGGTTGGTAATCTTTCATTAGGCTAACGGAGCATGCATGCATGCCCTAGAGGGGGGTCATAAGAACCAGGCAGGCATTCTGAAAACATTCTAGTCTCGTAATAAAGTCGCTGTAAATTAAAACCACTTGCTGTTTTGCTCCCCCCCCCCCCCAAAAAAAAAAAAAGTCACGCCAGGAATGTGACTCCTCAGTCCGAAAAAATTTAAATAAAGAAAAAATGTAAAAACGGTTGACAAATGTCTGCCTGCTGAATCCCACACAAAAGAGACACTGAAAGTACTACAGAGCACTGAGACATGTTACAATAAAAGAGTAGCAGACAATTAAAAATAAAATAATTATGGGAAACCTTGAGGAAAAAATACATTCCACCTTCCTTCTCTTTCCCTCTCTTTGGCACTTTGCTGACACAGCACAGCACAGAGCTGGACCATGAATTCTGCAGACCCCACCTCTCCCTCGTTCTGAGTTTGCAGTTGTGGATTGAATAAACTTTCTGTATGGAACAGGAAGCAGATCAGCAACTTCTCAAGTTTGAATTTGCAGAAGGAAAATAAAAGCCTTATGGGAAGCAGATGCCTAGATGAGTCATGGGCTTCATTCCTCTGGTTGCTGAAGACAGCCTGAGGATGTGTGATAGATTCAGAAGGGTTCATTCGTATTGATTTTGTAACAACTATTTAGTATTTTGGAAACCCATTTAGGACAATGTCTAATGCTCCTCTCTTGTGAAAATATTAATGATACTCCAAACAGAGGCATTGTTTATATTCCATTTAAAAAAGGCGGAAAAAACTCTTCTACTGTGCCTCCCACTTGTGGTGTTCTTCAAGGAGCCACCTTTGGCCCTTGTTAGAGTATATACCAGCAAAAGAGACACAGGAGATTGGCCAAAAGAAGTTCCAGTTTATTTACAAAAATCTCAAAATACTGCAGTTCTGGACCCAACAAAAGAGGTCACCAGAACACAATGCAACTGATACCAACATATGGGAACTAAAACACCAACTGACCCCCTGATTAAAACAAGCGGGGAACTTTTAAAGTGGCTGATCAGACCATTTTGACACACTATGGCAGGAAGCAAATTAAATAGACTAAACTACCAGTACTGTCGTCAACAAAACTGATCAAAGTGGTGCTAAACAGCAAAAACAAACAAAAAAAAACAAACAATTACAACAACAAATCCTTTAGACAAAAATGTAAAAATCAGATTAAAATGCCCAGGTTGCGTCAGGAAGGGCATCTGGTGTAAAACAATTGCCAAATCTTTCATGGGAGTTTGCTCGCTATGGCAACCCCTGAAGAAGGGATCAGCCGAAAGAAACTTACTAACATATTGCAGCATACAATATGAATTTATATAGTCTAAGTAGTTTCTATAAAATAATTGAGAAAATTAAGTTCTACTTTCAAAATAATGGTTAATGTTTCTTTAAGTGTTTTAATGATTCAACACATCTGTTTGGCAGCCAGAAGTACAAATGAGTACAAATGACAGATGCTCTAAATAAATGATGGGCTGTATAAATCTTAGCCGAATGACAAAAACAAGAAAAATGTTTGGTTTGGGGGCAAGAAAATCTAAACCGTCCTCTCATAAACACCCCACATACATACACACACACTTAAACACCCTTAAACCACGTAACCTCAAGTGGAGTAACTTGATCTCTGCTGTGGGACAGGAGTCATCAATAAATCACACTAACATTTCAATTCTTCATAACTCTAATCACAGTGAGGCCATAAACAGAAATAGTAGGAAAGAGGTTGTGCAGAAACATTAAGATTTTAATGTGAGCGCATCCTTGATATTTTAGAGATGCACTGTGCTGTGATACTGAGAAAAAAACAGTAGTATTAGTAAACTACACTTGGTACTAATGATAATCACAGGCTATTAGTCTGAGAACTGTCATTAAAGCAAAACATTCAATAATTCAGTCAAATGGTAGACGTTGAGTTGCAAGTACCAGTGTGGTATGACTGGAAATGTGGCACAGAGGCAGCAAATTTCAGAAATTTCCAGTTTTAGGTGCAACCATCTCTGTGATGGAGCCACAGTTAGATCAACGAGAGACCAGGGATCATGTGTCATGGCCACTCTGGTTCAAACTGACAATAACTTTGATTAAAAAAAAAAAAAAAGCTTTCTGGTATATGAAGAATAAGCATCTGGATGTTTAAACAGTTGAAACTAAAGCTCAATTCAAGCTGCTTTATGACAATGGAAGAATGGGTTTCAGGTTTTATTGCCAAAAAAAAAAAAATTGGACTGAGAGCCCTCCTTCTATCAACAGTTCAGGCTGATAAAATTAGTAAGGCTGCTCTGGGTGACTTTTGTCTACAGACTTTAAGCCTCCTGGAAACTATGGGGGTATTTGCTCATAGTTTCATGGCTACACAATCCATTTCCTGATGTCTACTTTCATCAACAATGTTCCTTTATCTGCCTTTTTCTTTTCTTTTTTTTTTTTGTACTTTGTACTTTAATAGCCTTCACAGTCATCAGATCTAAATCCAGCAGTGCTTCTTTTGGATGTAGAAAATTGTTGCTGTCCAATCTGCAACTAAATCAATATGGAGGAAAACTTGTGAGGAATGTTAGCGCCATGTTGAATGGATGACAAAAAGAAGTAAAGCTCTACAACAAACAAAGCAGCGGGTCACCAGGAACAACTAATTAACCCTCTGTAGTGTGTAGTCAAAACTAGAAATTAAAGCTGATAATTAGATGCATGATAATGATTCTGTCTTTTTTTTTTAACTTTAATGAATCATATGTAATGAACCTGAATGTTGTGGAGATCTCTAATAGTATTTTATAATCTGTGCTTTGCCTGATAAAAACCAAACAAATAAAACTATGAGTTTTTAAGTGTTAAACTCCCATTATAATGAACATGAAGCTTAGGATCCACATGTAGATCACTGGTATAAATCAGTGGCAACAGTGTAGAATTCCTGAATGTTTAGGCAGATATAAACTATTCAGAGCAAGTTTTTAAAATAATATCAGGTTTTAGACAAAGTTTTGTTTTTTAAACTTTGTGCTGAGTGGAACAGAAGGAACACCCACGATGCATTTCTACCGTACAAAGTGCTGTTGTAAGGAAGAGAAATAACAATAAAGGAAGCCGCCAAAAATAGGATTGTTTCCGGCCAAAGAGCTATAGCCGTCTTTGAACCTTGAGAGTGATTGTTGGAGGACTCCAGCCCAAACACAACACTACATCCCTTGTACGCAGTAAACTAGAATACAATCATTGATAACTTTTTTTTTTTTTTTTTTACAGAAAAGCAGCAAAACAATGCAGCAACTGGAACTTAATGAGCCATTTACTTACCAAACCTTTTATAGCCAAAGGACTGCACCTCCTCTTCATCGGTGAATTCGTCTGGAGGAATAAAACAGAAATAAACTGAATCAGGAGTGAACTCAACATAATAACACAAAAGCAGAAACAAAAGTGCTTGACCTCGTTACAATGAGTCGAGCCACATCAATTATAATAAAAATAATGAAAATCTTTAACCGTACCAAACCCCATCTGCTGGCAAAGATTATAGAATTCAACTAAAGTTACATGATGCATAAAACAAACCTGGATAAAACCAGTACTCCTAAACAGAATGCCTGTCACCCGCTGCCTTGTGTGCCAACGTTTGAAGCAAATATCTTCAACAACCTGTGAATACTCAGAATATGTGAAAAATATGGTTCTTAGCTACTACTACTCCAGATTTTAGCTCATTATATTCAGAATTGAGCAACTTATTGTCATTTTTGTTAAGGAGTTGTTGAGTTAAGGAGCTGAAACTAATGACAGTTTGTAGAAAGAAGTATGGACTTCAACTTGAGCTTTATTTAGAAAAACTGATGTTTATAACCTTGAAACTAATCACTGTGACCTTTGATCCAATGTCGTTAAAAACACCAAAGTAATTTAGGATGAAGAAACAAAATATCCCTGTAATTAAAAAAAACGAAACCTCATCTTAACTTGATCAATTTGGATTTCCCAGCATCCCCAATAAACACGTTCCTGTTTATAGACAACGTGATTGTGTCTTTCAAACATAAACGCACTTGTCTGTTCGAAAGGGATTTGTGGAAAATAAGTTTCACATTTTGCTCAAACCGCTGATTTGAAACATGCAAATCAAAGTGAGAGTTCTTTATAAGTTTTGGAGCTGGTACTTCAGAAAGGGTCGTTCATCTTTATTATCTCAGAGAGGCAAAGATGCATATTTGAATTTGGTTGAAAATGTCTGTTTTATTAGTCTAAATTACATAAGAGCTGTCTTTATACTACAGTATTTCTCTACACGACACTGTTGGGCTTTAATTCACACTCAATCAAGTGAATATGAACAAAAAGTTGATATTTAATCATGTTAAAATAATAAATATACAGACTGCCTTATATGCAGAGTAGAATTCAAAATCCTTCTTCTAGCCTACAAAGCCATCAACATCCTAGCTTCATCTTATATTAGAGATCTTATTGTTCCAAATGTTCCTAACAGAGCACTTCACTCTCAGACTGCAGGCTTACATGTGGTTCCTAGAGTTTCCAACAGCAGAATGGGAGGAAGGTCTTCCAGTTATCAGGCTCCTCTCTTGTGGAATCAACTTCCAGTTTCTGTCCGTGAGGCTGACACATTGTCCAGTTTTAAGACTTTCCTTTTTGATAAATCCTATAGTTAGTGTTGGCTTGTTATGCTGCTATAGACAGACCACTAGAAAACAGATTGTCCACATTTCCTTAAATTAATTGAATAGTTTTCATTTGATATTATTTATATCTTAACATGTGATTCTGGACCTGCCATTGTGTATCTATTCCTCCTTCCTGTTCCTCTCAAACCCAGCCGGTCGAAGCAGATGGTTGTTTGTCCTGAGCCTGGTTCTGCTAAAAGTTTCTTCCTCGTGAGGGAGTTTTTCCTTTCCACTGTTGCCTTCGAGCTTGCTCAAAATGAGAGTCTACAATTAAGTTAAACTCAAAGCAGTCTGCTCCTCAGATAAACAGTGTTAACTTATTTTTTATGTATAAGAATGTTTCTGTTCAGTGCACCAAGATGACTTCCGTTGTGACTTGGTGCTTTATAAATACACTGAATTGCACTGAATTATACTGTGTATCTGTGTGTGGTCTCGGATTGTCCACAACACATAATACATAGGAAAGACTGAGTGACATTATCTTTTATTTATTTTTACTAACTTGTTATAAAAAGGCAAAGTTTCTTATTACAACGGGTAATAGTTTAGTCTTAACACAAGGTTGTTTAACGTTCAAACACATTCCCAACGAGACAGCAAGGTTTTTCACCAAGAAATGGAATAAAAGGCTGAAAATAAACAGCAAGTGAGATACGAACTGCAATGTTAAACTTTAGCTTGATTATAATCCATGCAGGGTTAATATAAAACTTTGAAATGATGCTGTTTGGATGATTTGTACCTCAACAATGCCATAAAATATGGAGATAAATGTCTTCTTTACTAGGATTAAACAAGGGAAAATATTAATAAAGTCAGTATTTAGTTTGACTGAAATATTTTGTGCTTTCCACATGAAATTGTTACCTCTCGCTGGACAACACAAGATTTACCCAGCAGGCCGAGAACATCCAGGATTTATTCTCTTATTGGAGTGAAAACTTGCTCATAATTATGAGACCGGCGGCAGTAGTTCTGATGCGTTTACTTGATTTTGTCCAACTTGCTGAGATATTTTAAAGCTGGGGAACCGTGAGCAAATCCCCAAACACCATGAGTTTCAGATCAGAACTTTTTAAATTATTATTCAAACGCTTTGTTTCTGTTCATCACCGTGTTTCACGCTTTACTCCGTTTTCCTCAGTGTGTAAAAACACAGCAGGTTGTTAAATTTAGACCACAATAAAAACTTTTTTCATTAACTCAGTAAAAAAAAAAGAAGAAGAAAACTATAAAAGGAAGATGAAACATGAGGTAAAAGCGGGACCTAAAGTTGTGTGTGTGTGTGTAAATAAGCCATGTGTTTTCCGTCTGTGCTGCCTATTTCAAGTCACTGTCTGACGCTCGGACAGATGCAAAACAATCCCAAACTGAGCCCTAATTGAGAGCAGATGTTGAGCTGAAGCCCACGCATTCCTCACGTCCCACACCGAGACAAGGAGCGCAGGAAAGTGACAAAGAAAGAGCCAGAAAACAACAAATCATCGAACTAAGCCTCAGATTTCAGTTGTAGGGCTTTTTCAACCTACCTTTCATTGTGGCTCAGGACTCTGAAACGGTTTGAATCACATCCACAGCATCACTTTGGCTTTAAGTCCCAACTTTGAGCTCCTTAAATCTGCAGGAGTCCTGTATCCTCTGCTTGTTGGGTGGGATTCACATGTAGTTCATAAAGTTAGAAAAATAAAAATAAATCAAAAGCCCATAAGTTTCTCCTAGTTTTTTTTTTTTTTCTTCTCCTGGACTTTGAGTGCAGGTAACTTCAGAGCAGAAGCTCAAAAGCAAACTTGAGTTTTTTTCCTCTTGTTTGTGTTTTTGGGAAAAGATGCTGAGATGGGAGGGACTCCGTGTCCAGCTCAGACCCGGTGGTACCCGCAGCAGCCGCAAGGAGAGACTGACAACAACAAAAAGAAGTGCAGGAATCCAAAAGTGCAAGGAGGTGGTGCGCGTGCAGAGCTGCTGCAAGACAAACCACGTGTCGCCTCCCTGAGCCCAGCTGTTCAGTGATTCATTTTACTGCAGAACAAGAATAAAAAACTTTTAAATAAATATTAATAAAAACTGATAACAGTTTGACCATGCGCAACTTTCAGATTTGTCCGTTTAGAAGAGCTGTAAGTTACAAAATGCTGCAAATCATATGTTTATTATATTTATATTTTTTCTGAATCTTGTCTCATAGTTTGATGTAAAAGAGTTTTCATAAAAATTCTGCTTTTTTATCCAATAATATGTCTAAGAAAAAAGTTCACCTGCAAAAAGTTATATTCGTTTGGTCCACTAGGGGGCAGAAAAGCAAACATGTGGCTGAAGTGTTTTGCACAGTCAGCAGACTTAATGTCGCCCGCCTTAGACAGGCAGGGAGCGGGTAATGATGTTTTTGCTAGTGTCTTTGTGTTTGTTTGTGTCTGTTAGCAAAATATGTAACACAGCATTGGACTAATTTTAATAAAAACTTTCAGAAAGTAATCATTGGATGTGTAAAAATAGTTAAAAAACG